TAAACGATTTTCTTTTCTGTTAATTATTTAATTAAAAAATTATTCGATATTTGGGTTTTATTTCACTTCTGTATGATTTTTTTTATATATTATTAATTGATATATTACCAATGTATTTAGATTTTATTATTAAAAAATAACATTCTTAGGCTAGTATAATAATAATATCATATATCATAATGTAATAATAATATACATTTATCACTACTCGGCCGTCATCACTACTAGATTTGTTTTCAAGCAAAACACTAAAAGTTGAATTTATTCTAATATATATATATACACAGTGCCGACCTTAGACATTCGGTGCCCCCCGGGTTATGACGTCACTTCTTCCCCCCTAAAAAAATTAAATTTATTTCTTAAGCAGTTTTATATAATCCAATATTATAGCCCCAATGATCGCCGCACGATTTCGACGCCCGGGGGCGATTGTCTCGGTTGCGCTGCCCTAAGGTCGGCACTGTATAAAGTATATATACAATAATATGTACATATCTAATGTTTATACATGGTATGTATATTATTACTTATGTAACGCATTCTGGGCGATAACTTGACGAACTGTGAGTGGATGTGAAAAAAGGGAAACGAGCTGCTTGAGGACGCATCGCTCACGCATCCCATCGACAACTCACATTTTTATCTTAATGTGTAGATTAATCTAAATGATGCGCAGCTTAAATTATGATTTTGGATCTTCTTTGCTTAATTGACAGTTATGATTTCCATCACAGAATGTTTTCCCTCAAGGGTTTGTGCTTGTTTTACAATCTTGCCTTTTTTTTTATTTTTAACCTTCGAACAGTAGGCCAGATAGAGAGGAAGCCCTTATCGTAAAAAGTAAAAAGATTTAAGTGGTCAGTATCAGCAATGGTTTCTTGTGAAACACTTTTGACGCAAGGTACTAAAATTTACAAAAAGAACAGCCATTTTCATGACACATTTCTTTAAAAAAATTGTTAGGGAAGGACGTCACTTCAGTGCCATTGGTGTTTTTATTATCTCTACAATAAGGACGGCAGTAATTATTACTTCAGGTTTTATGGCAGCGACAGTGAATTACGGGAGAGCGTATTACATAGTACGAGTAAAGATGAAAAGGTTGCTTTTATATGAATACCAGATCAATATATTTTTAAAGTAAAAATAATTATCATATGTACTAGTTTTGCAAGGCTGCTCACATTACACCTGAGAACGATTCTAATTAATTAAAATCTGATTACAATAGAAACTATTCATTAAAACAAACAAAATAAAAACAGAATAAATGAATCTAAATTAAAATAAAACTAAATTCAAAAATATGGTGCGCGCCTATAAACCTTACAGGGCTATTATTAGGGCTCAAAGCTTACTGCTAACAAATCATAAATACCATTAAAATAACAAAAATCCTATTTATTATATCACCGGTCAATTATGGATTGTACAATCCGTTGGTTATGGATTGTACGACTAGTTATTAAGCTGTTATTTTCCATTGCAAAGTTTACTAAAATGGAACAGATATTCTGTCATAGACAGGTCAAAAGTTGTCACACTGATTGTAAGTGGATACTATTGGGATATCACAAAGGAAAAATTCATCAAATTATTCACTAATTTAATTTTCTAAAAGCTTACATCATGATTATTCGGAATAAACGGACTATAGATACCTAATTATTTAAATATAATATCAGATCTAGAGTTATTAAACAACAGTAAATATATTTAAGATTATAAACATACCTATGAAATATTTTTATATTTATATAACAATGTCGTTGCCTTGATTAGGAAGATTTTAAATAGTTATTTCGAACTTCAAAAATATTTTACAAGTTTACATTTAGTTGGTAAATTTCATTTCATTTCCTTGAAAACATGTGATTTCCGTTAAATAATTTAAGTTTTCAAAAACTATTATTTATAATTTTTCGTCACATTCCATTACTTTCTACGTCTTTCTATATTCTATATATATTTTTTATAAAATTCTCCGCTTTCCAACGATACATTATATGTATACCTTCTGAATATTTTTTCCGGATATTCATTTTCTTTCTGGATAAGTATTTTTCTTTTATTTCTCCTTTATTCCAATATCAACTTCTTTTAAAAGTTATATTTAGCCATTTATCATAACTCTTAATAATGAGAGATAGTTAATTATTTAAAATAAACCAAATTAAAGGTACTTTAGAGGAATACATGTTGAACATTTAAGCCCTGTAAAATTATATCAATGGGGATAAGTTCTCAGTGACATTAATGACCACTTAGTTACACAATGATGAACTGAGTTTAAAATCAAAATCGTTAGAGCCTTCTTTGAAAAAATAGTAAAAATATGTATCGCCGTTTAAATAAAGTGTCATCCAGTTAACCGATTTCTAGGAAAAAGTTGATGTAACATCTCAAGCGTATACCTATCTTAAATACGTAATATCAGTTTCTTACGACGGTTGAGAGCTTGACTGATAACATACACGCACACAAACACACACACCATTTGTCGGACTTGGTTATTTCATATATAGGTGAGTGCAATTAAAAATTGTAAATAGTGATTTAGACATGCTAATTATCAGCGAACACGCACGTATTTACTAGAATCAATATTATAATTCATTGAACGGACATGAGAATTAACTTTGGTACTTTTAGTCTAGCAGGCCGGACTGAAACCTCACCTCTTATCTATCTTATCAAACGTCACGTCACATAACCTCCCTCTTCTTATCCCCTTTCAGTTATTGCATTGTTTAGTTTTCAGTTATTCCCTTATTACGTTCACTTATTAAATTTTTTACTTTTGGTCCGTTTGTGTTTATTTTTCATTATTTTTAGTTTTTGGCCCGTTTGTGTTTATTTTACTTTTTTTTTAGTTTGTGGCCCCTTTGTGTTTCTTTTCGTCATATTATGGATCTTCTTAGAATATGGAATTTGACGCCTTCAGAAGAACAGGCACTTCAATATTTTTAAAATGTTGGGGTACTCGCCGACTTGAATCGACGTGTGATCGAGGTCATCGAATGAAGTCAACCAGGAAGGCCAAATGGAGATGCTTTCGTAGGACTTATGACATAAAACTTTCAATAAGGAAAGGAACATGGTTGGAGGGCTCGAGGATTTCGTTTTTAACAGCTTTAAAATTGATTTATGGATGGTCCCATAGATTGACAACGATGAAGTGGGCCAAAGAGCAGCTGAAACTATTCAACAGAGTTATGGTAACGTGGAACAAACGTCTAAGAGAGGTTTGTGCCCCATGACATGTTATACAGGCCAAGAAAAAAAATTGGAGGACCTGGCAAAGTGGTTGAAGTAAAAGAAAGTCTTTTTTCTAAACGAAAAAATCATGTGGGGGGAGTTTTATCTCAGCAGTGGATGTTTGGTGGATTTTGTCGAGAAACAGATGAATGTTTTATCTTTTATATAAAACCGATTTCGTTTTATATTTTTTCTTTTCTATGTAAATATGTTCTTTTAAATGTGTTTTTTATTATTTCATTTTGATGTTTTATATGTACATATCTTCTTAAAGTGTTTTTTTTATTATTTCATTAATACATGTGTCGTCAAATAAAAGTATTTTTTTTGGTTATTAAATTTGTTTTTGTATCTGTTTACACTTTCAATAATACGAATTTAATACAACAATACGAAGATATGAAGTAAAAGAAGGCTTATCAGTGCTTTATGGGAGTTATCAGTGTTCAGGTTATAAACATTGGCAGATAGCAGTCAGTAGCGGCCCCTTAGACGAAAAGTACCTTAACTTTAAGAATAAATAGCCTTGACTAACTTGCCTCAAAATATCAGAAAACTGTGGATAAAATAACTATCCCCAAAATGTTTTTACATAGATTAATGGCATGCCATTACATTCGTGACTGCGGCAGGTCGATTGATGATAATTTTCAATTTTTAAATTACCGATATAAATATATAACAATTAACACATATGAAGCTTCATGTTTTTACAAAATTAAGAAACCAGAAGATTATCTTTATCAATAGTCCGTTTTGGTTTATTATTTTCAATAATGAAACATTGTGATCGACCAAAAAATTCAAAAACATAACCCCCTCTCAAAATTTGAGGTTTCACGTTTCAAGATGCGTAGAATTCGAAAAACGAATAAATTTTTTTTTGTCCGTCCGCCGTCCGCCGTCCGCGCATTTTCTCCAAAACTACTGGACCGATTTTTTTTCAAATTTTGATATAAAATCAGAGGTCACCCGAGGATGATCCTCTTTCATCGACATTACTCTCCGCCTTTAACTTTCAAAATGGCTGCCGAAAAACCTGCGTTGCTATAGACTGTAGTTCCTAAACGAATGTACAGATTTCAAAGAAACTTCACTAAAGTTTCTCGACGCCCTTTAAATTTATCTATATAACATACTTCAACGAAAAGAAGCTGGAAAAAAAGTTACGAGGGATGGTAAAATTAAATTCCGAATAACTCGAAAAGTTTTTACTTTTTTGTTGATATTGTATAGTTTTTTAAAAGTTTATGAAATTTTCTAAAAAAAAAGAAAAAATCGGACAATTAGGAGAAATGATATGGTCCCTGGTTTTTTTTTATGTGTTCTACTCTAAATGGTATATCCTTGGTTTGGTTTTTAAATTTTAAATGTGTTACTGAAATAATGCTATTTTTTTAAGCATATTACTAATGATTAAAGAAAAACAGTTTAGTCCAATAATTGGAATCCTCTTTTGTTTGTTTTTTTTTCTTTGTAACTCGGAAGGTAATGTTACTTTAGATGTATAATTGTTTGAAGATAATAAACCATTGTGAAATCATTTGCAGCGTTTTTTCTGAGTAAACGTAATTATAATTCTTGTGGACAAATCAACGAATTTAAATCAATAGTTTCCTATTAATATACTCTAGTAATAACCCCTTTATCATTATACATATAAGCCAAGTCATGATTATTACTAAGCTTTGTAAATCGTTTCAGTAATTACATATGTTCTTTATACGCGATCACACATGATCAGAACCAATTAATTTATTTTTCATAATACATAAAATCTATCAGGAAGCACGCTGATAGTAAAATAGCTTTTTTTGCTTTGTTTAAATTTTTCGGAAAGGCCAATGCGAAGAAGTCGGAATTGGTAAAAAGTTCCCTGAGAAGACCGCTCCACTCCTTGGTAATCCTGCCCACTTCCCTGCCATTCAGGTCAAATATCTTGAAGTCCGCAGCCAGGATGGAGGCGCCGGGGCAAGAAGCATAACAGGGACCTTTAATTTCGAAAATCACTTTTCCTGCAGAATTTTTTACCAGAAACCGAGGAAGCCAGCAGCGGTACCTCTCTTCCACGGTCCCGACGAATCTCTTGGGTGGTGAGAAGATTTGAACCCTCTGTAAAGGGCAGCATGGGAAACAGCAGCAGCTGGTGCAAGCCAGCCGCCTCTTCATGCGGACTGCTTCGTTTCCGTTCATGTCGTAGATACTCATGCGGAACGGTCTGTAACTTCTACAAATCCACCTGCAGAGGAAACTAGAATGCTCCACGGCGTAGAGCAATAGCTTGCCGTCTGTTGTCTTTATTCTATATCTGTTTTTGGTCTCTATCCTGAAGAATATTTCGCAAAATTCTAACTCTTGATAAATTTTGAGCTCCTCGACTCCCTTGAGAGCATTCAAGGAAGACCGCCACCGATTGTTTAAAAAGGACATTGAAAGAATAATTTTAAAATTTATTCATAAATTACTTTGGTGATTTTTCGACTTACCTTAAACCATGTGTAAAAAAAAAAATTAAAATCTTGATTATAGAACGTTTTCTATGCTCAACCCAGTTTGGAACCAGCTAAACACTAAATTTTTTCTTTGTGCAAAATTATTGAACCTTGTCAGTTTAAGAACTGTGGCTGTATTGCCAGTATATTATTAAGTCGAGAAAAATATATGGTAACCTCGTATGGTTTGAATGTTTTAGTAGTGATTTATTGATGAAATAGTGATTTATTTTTCTGTTTTAATTTTTTTCATAGCATAATTTAAAATTTTCCCTTAACTTGTATTACATTTATAGCGTTACATACATACCTTTCGTTCCATAGCTTGAATGACTTATTAATTATTATTCCAAAAAGTTCCTATTGTTGGGTCTCTGCCTTATTGACTGTTGTGTTCTCAATAGTTTTTCCAATTCCGATACATACAAAGCTTTTAGTATCGATTGTCACTCCGAGTTTAGACTCTTTTATAGTTGGATTGAATATGAATTGAAATCGTCAAATCCTTGGACTTTGCTGTGTGAACACTTGATCTCTGAAAAGTCTCCTTTTGTGAATAAGCATATTTTCTTCAAAATGGAGTTGATTGTCTACTTAGTGGACGTTAACTTCTATTGATAAGAACAAGATATCGGAGGCCAAATCATAAAACACAAATTTCTTTAAGTATAGTTGTTCGAAAGTACAGCCGTTTCATTTTACCTTCCATATAGAGATCCGTAAATCCTTAAAATAATTATGAGGTCGTATTGCGAAATTTGGTCACAAAGGATTGTGTCTGTAGGGTCTCAGTTTTTAAGTATTTAATTTAAGTGTTTAAGTATTGATTAAAAAATAAGTGGCTTTATAGATTTCGGCAAGGCGGCAACAAGCCTATCAATTCATCACTCCATCCTTATCTCAAAACTCGAAAGTCTTTAGGATTAAGAATCAGATGATGGAAATTTGCATTCTTTAGTGATGTAAGTCCCAATAAGAAACACACACATATATACTGATGACCAATTATGTATTCATAACTTGAATGAAATTGAAATGTGTAATCTAACTTTAACCCTCTTAAATCCGCAGGCGAAGCTAGTTTTAATTACAAGCAAATTTTGATTAATTGTGATACTACGTAGATGGGTTCAGGCGATGGTTCAGCTAGCAATTGTTCAGCAATATAAGGCCCTGAATCTTTTACGGTGTCAGTGGAAGACTCCTCTTCAGCACTGGTCAATTTCCCAGAAATTAGCCAACGTACCAGATGCCCTGTTTCAGGCGATTTTCGATTTCAGGGATTAAGTTCGAGGATGTGCTGATCTATTAGGTATCGACACAAATATAGAACCCTCACTATCAGTCAGGAAAGTTAGGCAGTCCCTGAGGGAAAATTCCTTTATGGAGTAAATATAAACGTCAGGGAGTTGGTGTCTCCCATTTTAAATCGAACACTTTGGCCAATAACTTTATTTATGGAAAGTCCTCCCAAGTTCAGAATGGACAAAAGCTATGAAATTTAACGTCAACTAAGCTCTTCTCCGCGGAGTACCAGGGATCGAAAGCCAGGCCAATGGAGATGTTGGATTCCACTGCCGCAAACCTGGTCCAGCGCAAACCTGGTACCCTGCTTAAAAAAAAAAATAGCGAGGTGAATTCGGAGTGAAAAACGTCTCAGAAGTAGGGGAACCATCCCTCATTCTACAATGATTTCTCGAAGAAGCTCGGAGTTGGAAGAGAGCAGGTGGAGATAATGGCGGGACTTATTGGGGATCCAACATCGTAACATATACTAAACTTAGTCTTCGCTGGTTCGTTTCTGGGAATTATTTATTTTTAACATATTTGATATGATCAAATGGATCCACCTGACTAGCACTTTTTTTTTTTAATATTCACTATTGATAAATAAGTATGGTGTGTGATTTTGCAACTCAACACAGTTATGCAGCCATGCAATGTTATTGTAGTATTATATATAAGAAACTTGATAAAAGCTACAGATTCAACTCTTTTTTTTTTTTTTTTTAATGATTGTCGTTCTACTATCAGCCGCTTTATGTATATTCCGCCGCTTTATGAATTAAGGCTCAGCAGCAAAAATATTCTTCCAATTATCCTTTCCTTTTTTTTTTTTTTTTGTTTTATTAAATGAGAAAAATGTCAATGTATGTAATATAAGTAATTAACAGTTCACTATAAAAAATATTTATATTTTTTATATATAAACGTGATTTTCATTATAATATTTTTTTATCTTTTTAGGGAAGGTAACGATCCGGACGACTACAGCCGCCTCACATACCGAAAGCTTTTAGAAGAAGTATGCAGGTTCTCCAACGTACTCAAATCGTTAGGCGTTGCCAAAGGAGACAGGGTTGCCATTTACATGCCCATGATTCTAGAAACAGTTATCGCCATGCTCGCTTGCTCCAGGATAGGTGCAGTTCATTCCATAGTTGTAAGTATCGAAATGTAAAAGTTGTAACATGATCTCCTTTCAAATTTATTATATTTTTTATTTGTTTAGTTCAATGTCATTGTGTACTAAAATCCACTAGTGGATCCAGGATTTAATTTTTTCGGGAGCTTCATAAAAAATGGTTATATTTTACCATTTTGGGGAGGAAGGGTTTCAGCCCGAAAGCTCTCTCTCCCTCTCCCCTCCCGTAGATTCGCCTGTGCTCCAATCTTACTTTATGAGCATGGAATAGCGGAAATGCGCTTACCTAAGGCAGGCTAAGCATTAACTTATTCAAAGCTTTCCCTATAAATCGAAGTAGTTGGTAGGAATCAAAAAAAGCAGTTCTTCAATTGATCATTGGAACACTTAAAGGTTGGAGTGTCCATAAGAGGATTTCATGGCTCACGTTGCGCCAACAAAATTTTTGAGGTTTGATTTGGACAGCTTGGTTATTATTTTTTTTTAAATTAATTGTTAATCGTTTTTTTTTTAATCCCAACAAGTAGCATTCCATGCTGTAAGGCTGGTATTAAAACAGGATAATAGTTTTCAACGCATTTTTTTAAAATACAAAGTCAGAGGTAAATACAACCTCAAAGCCGCTCCTCTGTTTTTAGTTAATTAAAAAGAATTAAATTTTGCTTTAAAATTGTCCGGGGCACATGCTCCCTTAATTCCGGTCCTGGATCGATTAATTAAAATGACATTGCAAAATATAAGTGTAAAAAAGTAGGTCTTTATTGTAAAAGTGAAAATAAATAATCGTGTGATATTATGATATTGTTACACTGCTCTTCATTGATATTGTATCTCACTTTAAAACAGCCACATTCCATGTTTTCTGATGTGAGAAATTCGAATTTCTACATAAAAATCATCTTCCCCTCTCCTGTGGTGTCCCTCAGGGTTCCTCCTTGTCTCCTACTATGTTTGCTATTTACATTAATGACCTTCCCAACCAGATCCGTCACTCCCAATACCACATCTATGCTGACGATTTCCAAATATACCTTTCCTTCCCCCCTTCCGACCTATTAGCCGCCACAAAAAAGCTTCAAGAAGATTTAAATAGAATATATGACTGGGTAGGAGTTAACAAGTTGAAGTTGAATGCGGAAAAGACCAAGGCAATCCTAATAGGCTCCAATCACCTCCTCAAGATTGTTCTAACTTTCCAACCCTATTTTTACATGTTAATCCCATTAGATTTTATCCCACCATCAAAAACCTTGGAATAATCTTCGATCAAACCCTTTCCTGGAAAAACCATGTGTTCAATATTTCCCGACGTAACTTTTCCACCCTAAAACACTTAAATAGCCTGCGACACCTTTTTCCTTTCGAAATCCGTAGACTCCTGGTCACCTCTTTAATATTTCCCCATTTCGACTATTGGTGCACGTTATATGGGGGCGTCTCTGGAGATCTCGAGGCGAAACTAAAACGTTTGATAAATTGCTTTGTACGATTCATCTTCGGGATCCCAAGATACGCCCATGTTTCCTGTTTCTATGATGAGTTGAAGTGGCTTTATCCTTCCAACCTCCGTAAGTATTTCTTGGCATCCTTCCTCTTCCAAGTAATTCACTCCCGCCGTCCTTCATACATCGCCGAGCTCCTTCAATTTAAATCCTCTGTCCACTCCCGCAATACCCGTTCTCGGTCCTCAGATCTATATATAATGGCCCACCGAACCGCTGCTTTCAATAAATCATTTATTATTCGATCCTCTTCCCTATGGAACTCCATCCCTCCCCACATCCGTCAATCCAAAACACTTCCTACCTTTAAATCCCAACTGTTTAATCATTTCTTATCCATCCAGTCCTCATCATAAAATTGTAAACAGTTGCTACTGTAAATATGTATATAAATTATTAGATCGTTCTTTATTATTTTTACTTCATGTTTATTTTCAATTTTTTATTTTTTATTATTAACTGATGTAAATTAGAAAGTAACTTATAATTTCTCTAAATATTTTTGTATTTATTTTTTTTTTTTACTATTTAATCAAACTATATTCTTGTTTATGTATCTCTGAGGCTCCTTAGCCCACATCTCTCTGTATTATTCTAAAGGGACTCGTCTCAGAATAAATAAAGCATTATTATTATTATTATTATTATTATTATTATTATTATTATTAATATAGGGAAATTTTCTGCTCCTGGGTTGGTAGGATTGATTTCTGTCTGTGAATCGCTAGAAACGACTAGCTAACAGGATGAGTTGATACCAGAATTTCCGTATCTAGATACAACTGATACGGGTACTTTTTTGTATCTGATACAAATGAGTCAGTAGTTTGTCGTTATCTTCCTATTACGTTTTATCTGATACTTGTATCGAATATTTTTATCTGATACTTGTATCGGATACCCGAGTGGTATGTATACTGACGCTTGGGCTTGATACCCCAATAATTGTATCGGATATTTTAATCCGACTATCCAACTGAAATTGATAACTGATTGGGTTTGATATTTTATTTAATAATAATCATTATATTTAATACCTATCTGATAACTAATAAAACAAATATGTACCTACATTTTCACATCTACTACTTTAGTATAGTTTGGTTATACTTCTTTTTAATTTAAATCCATAATGTTCATTCATAATAATATTTGTATACCATCTTAATTTCGAAACTAATATGTACATCCAAAAACATTATTTTACTTCTAAACCAATTATGTAGCTTTAATTTAAATTGAAAATATTGAAATTGAATATTGCATATTTTGGCGAGTATTCAGAGCATTAGAGTACTATAATTCATTTACGTGGTAGATAAATTAAATGTTTCAATTGATTGTTTTAATAAAATTGAAAATGAGGTAGGCATATATTATATATGCGTGCGTGTGTGTGTGTGTGTGCGTGGGTGTGTGTGTGTGTGTGTGTGTGTGTGTGTGTGTGTGTGTGTGTGTGTGTGTGTGTGTGTGTGTGTGTGTGTGTGTGTGTGTGTGTATTTAATCAATGGAAGAGTTAGTATAAAATAGTAATTACAATTTATTAATAAGCATTAAGTCATAAAATCTGAACTAAAACAAATGAATTGTTAACTTTAGAAAAGTTTATACCAATTAACATTATATTAAAAAATAAATAAGAGTATATATATATATATATATATATATATATATATATATATATATATAGAGAGAGAGAGAGAGAGAGAGAGAGAGAGAGAGAGAGGAGTGAGTGAGATTTAACTAAATTAAAATAAATGAATAAGTTTAAAAAAATTGTGTACAACTAAAAAAATATAACTAACAAATATAACATTTCTCATATATCAATGTGATAAGTCTGAACAACCATTTGTATCCATGTGAGCATCTGTATGAGATACTTTTGGGTTGTATCTACTGGTTGTATCAGATACTTTCTACTATCAGATAAAAAATATCTGATACATACAATCCGATCCATTCCTACTATTTGTTAATCACAGAACCATTTTGCTGATAGTTGTATGCAGTGTTTACATTTCAAGTTACTCGTGACGTGATTTATCTTGCTTCAGGCATTCTTTAAACGATTTTGTCGTGATAACCCAGTAGTTTTGGTTAAAGTTACAATGCCCAGGAAGTATGCGAATGCTCCTGATATCTTTTGTTACATTTGTTGAGACGTAACCTTTGCAAGTCAAAAACGTCCTATCATCCAGATGATCAAGACAGCATACCACAAGTATTTTGGGATGGAGGTTGTTTACCAAGATGAACAGTGGGCCTCGCACATCTGCTGCATCGCATGTAGTTTAACCTTAAAGGCAGAATTCCACTGAGGCAACACTGAACGTCATGTAGCTTGATAATTGTTTCCTACTGCTTCCTATTGTAGCCCTGCGACTATGTGGGTCTACATTTTACGCAAAGAATTTTCTGTTTGATCCTCAAGTTACTGGTCTAATATTCTTTACACCAGTCGCCATTTTTACAGGTATCAAGATCCGATTGGTAGACTCATTTTTTAAATATAAATGTCATAAATATTTTTTAAAAATGCTTTTAAAGTTTTAATCAAATAATGTCGATTTTTTCTCACAGACTCTGGGACTAAAATGAATTTTCTTATTGTAGCTCCTAAACCCTCGTCCGCTCCTACACTGATTACAGGACAAGTTTCGTAAAGACTTGGAAAATAAATTGGACCTTAATATTCCACTTAAGACGAAACGAGACATTGAAACAGCCATAGAAGTACCTACTACACCTATAAGTGACAAAATAAACGATAATACATCTACCAATAAAACTGACAACTCCCAACAGACAAATTTGCCGCAGCATATTCGTATCTTATTAAGGGAAAAACGCTGAGCAAGATCGAAGTGGCACAGGACTAGATACCCATCTGATAAGATATATTACAACAAATTAACTAACCAACTAAAAGCTGAAATTAGAAAATACAAAGTTCAAACTTTACTTAACATGACAGAAAAACTTACTACTTCTGACAAATCACTATGGTTGACCACTAAAAAGCTCCTTAAATTCAAAGATTTTAACCACCCACTTATTACTGAAACCCAAACCTGGTCCAGATCTGTCGAAGAAAAATCTCAAATATTTGCTAAGCACCTCTCAAAAACATTTAATTCACACCCAGATATCCTTAATCCAACCCACCTTGAGTTTATTGAAGCAGAATTGGATACCCCACTCCAATTGACTCCTCCACATAAAACATTTCATCCTTCAGAAATATCCAATATCATTCATAGATTACCTTCCCGCAAAATCCAGGCCATGATCTAATCACAACCTAATCACACCCAGCTCCTAAAATTTCTTCCTAAAAAAGCCATACTGTTTCTAACCTATATATATAATGCTGTACTCCGAACCACATATTTTCCTGACTCTTGGAAACTATCCATTGTCAAAATGATACCTAAACCCATAAAGCCGCCAGAACACCCAACCTCTTACCGTCCTATCTCTCTTTTACCCATCCTGGAAAAACTCATCTTAAAACGTCTGTATACCATCCTAGACTCTAAAGACATTATCCCAGATTACCAATTTGGATTCCGCACATCCCATCCCACTACTAAGCAATGCCACCGTGTTGTAGATGTAGTCTCCTCTCCATTGGAGCGCGGAATGTACTGCATGGGAGTCTTTCTCGACGTTGAACAGGCGTTTGATAGAGTCTGGCATCCGGGACTGATTTACAAACTCCGTAAATTCCTACCACATACATACTTCCTCATTGTCCTTTCCTACCTTACTGACAGATACTTCAAAGTCAATCATAACAATGCTTATTCATCTCTTTTTTACTCAGTTTGCCAGTGTTCCTCAAGGTAGTATCCTAGATCCTATCCTTTACACAGTTTATACAGCTGATATCCCAACCCAATCCAACACTGTCACCACCTATGCCGATGACACGTGTATCCTATCAGTTAATAACGATACATCTGTTGCATCCCAAACTCTTCAATCACACATCACAAGTCTGGAAAAATGGTGTCAAAGCTGGAGGATTTAAATAAATTCCAATAAATCCCACTAAATTAACTTCACTCTTCGTCGTAAACCTATGACTTCCTCTCCTACAGTATCCTTCAACAATAGCCCTCTTATCCTTGTCGAACAAATCCGATACTTAGATTCAACGATACACGATCAGACGATACACCTTGACAAAAGACACACTTGGAACCCCCATACTAGACTGAAACGACTAGAAACCGCCCGACGTTTTCGACTACTGCAGCACTTACTAGACAAACGCTCTAAGCTTTCAATCAATTACAAACGACTCATATATATGACAATAATAAGACCAATTTGGACTTACGGAATTGAGCTTTGGGACTGCACTAAACCATCGAATCCCTCTCTTATCCAATCCTTACAATCTAAAATTCTTCGTAAAATCCTCAACGCTCCTTACTTTGTCACAAATAAAATCATCCATAAAGACCTTAATGTTCCATATGTTTCCGATTTGGCCCAATCCAGATACCTATCCTTCCATAACAAACTGCAATACCATCCGAACCCTCTCGTATCAAATCTTTCTTCCTCCTCGATTCCTGATAATCCTGCGATGCGTCTGAAAAGAAATAAAAAAAGATGGCCTCGGGACCTTCTAATACAGAACTTTAATTTGCGTTCTACCAATGTTTATAGTTTCTCTTCATGTTGTACATGTCATGTTACCAATGTCACACTTTACTTGTTGTATTTTCCATTTAATACAGTTGTAAATTTCATTAAAATAAATTAAATTTGTTTTTTCTAACTTGTAAATAAAGGTTCAGAGATGTGAAAAGCAGGATAATGAGGTTTAAAAAACAAAACAAATTTCGCGAAGAAATAACGAATCCCGATTCGAGAAATATAATTGATCTATATTAAAACTGTTGGTTCACAGTAGACGCGGAATTTGATGCTCTATGACTTCTATACTATGAGTTTTTCTCTTCGAGAACTCATTCCCAAGCAGCAGCGACATTAATTTATCTCCTGTCAGTCATTTGTCTGTTTTGGCAAATTTAGTGAAAATCGGCGTTCGTTGACCATGGTTAACGAACACGTCACTTAACCAAATTATTAAGTTTAGGTGCTCCTTCGAAGAACAATTTAAGTTTATTTAATTTATGAAAAAAAAAGTTGTTCACTTTGTGGTACCATTTGGAAACTATTGGTGAAAAAAACAAAAACAAGACCGAAATTATGTGCCTTTGTTGGCTATTGAAAGATTTTTCTTGGTTGCCCGCATCTTTTTTTTTTTTTTTTTTTTTTTCTTTTTTTCTCTGCCTCGCCTTTTAGGCTATACGGGATTTTCCAGGGTCGGAGGGTGAGGGCGGGAAATTCGAAATTCCCTCCCGGCACCGGGATGCGAACTCATACTTTTTTTAATCTTCTCAAATCTCTTATCCGGTTGCCAGGCAACTACCGGTGCAGTGCACACGCTTTAGCCCATTCGGCCACCCCGCCCTCTAGGTGGCCCGCATCTTAAATTTTGTTTTTTGCATGTCTCATCCAATATATACAAGTTAAAAAAATAAAAACTTTTCTCACATTTTTCACAATGAAAAATCAGTCGTTTTTTTTTTTCATTTTCCATCCACCTAAAAACAATGTATACATATATTTCATATAATATAAAAATGTAGATAAGGTAATTTATATATATGCGTACAATAGGCCTTCATGGCTCATGCTTCATGTTTCCACAACAAAATTAAATTAAATAAATAAAAGTCCCGTAATCGGTTTCCTTTTTTAGAAATAATATAATGCAACTTTTATGATCATTTGCAGTTATTTTTGTGATAATTTTCAGTTATTGCATATTTGCTTTTAAGAGAAAAGCAAATATGCAAGAAAGTGAAATGTTGAGGGATTGCCGCTCTAATTTTGTATTGTCATATGCCATCGGAAAGGTATATATCCCGTTTTTTAAAAGTTGAATAAAAACGTTAAAATGCTTTTTTTTAAAGCTAAGATCTTGTAGGATGACTCATAACAGCATTTTAAATAAATTTATACAAAAAAAAAAACCTTTTTTTTCTTGCACGACTTTGTGGATTTCAGGATGTAACGTATGCTAGAAACTCGCGAATGAGCTCCCGCTGTCAAATGTCAAAGAAGGTGTATTTGTTCGTCCACAATTCCGTGAGCTTCTTAAAGATGGGGAATTTTTTTAATATTCTTCAGGGTAAAGAAGAGCAGCGTGGAAAGCATTTACAGCTTTAGTAAATGGTCTCTTGGGTAACAAAAGAGATGAAAATTATGCTGCCTTAGTTCAAATCCTCCTTGAGAAGTACAGAGATCTCGGTTGTAAAATGTCACTCCAGATTTACTTTCTTCACTCTCATTTAGACTTCTTTTCCGAAAATTGTGGATCTGCAAGTGACGAACATGGTGAGCGATTTCACCAAGATGGAACAAAGATGGTGGGATACTACAAAGCTCGCAGACTACTGTTGGAATGTTGTGAGGGATTTGCCAGAATATCAGTTCAATCGTCAAGGAAAGAAGAAACGTTTTAAATAAACTGTGCAACAGCGCTTTTGTTTCCGAGAGAAGTTGTAATTTAATGTTTTGTGGATTGTAAAAGTATTTCACAAATAATAAAGCCCTTTTAAAGCCTAAAAAATGGTCGTGTGACTTCCAATAATTTAATTTTTGTATTCGATACTGGGTATACCTATTTGCAGAATGCTAGCTAATATAAGGTTTCTGACAGAAAATTCGAGTTTCTCACATCAACATGAGTCAAGAGAAACAGTTTTCATCCATGATACACACAAAAAGTTTTTTTTGTAAGGCAGTGTTATAAGCCTTTCATATTTATAAATTAATGAACAAAAATTAATTTGATGTTGTGTCATATATCCCTTTGCTGGAGCCATCTATCTCACCAATTTTAATGGAATCTTGTTAAAACCGCATTCTAATAAATAATAATATTTCCTCAAATTATCTCTTTATTATTGTAACAAATTGGGACACATGCATTTAAAATTCAATTTTTTTTGCGTGTGCCACTAACTGCATCCTCTCCTTCTTTAACCAACCACATTCACAATAATTATTTTTATATAGTATAAGCACTTGTTTTTTAAAATATGCTTTTCTGTTTTGAAAATGTTGGGAATTTACATATGAAATTAAAATATTTAGTAGCCTAATTAATTAATTATTTATACAATAAAATATATGTATTGGGATTGTAATATTGATACCTAAATCAAACATGTGGAGTCTAAAATACTCTTTCATCCTAGAAAAGGAACTTTTTTTTTTTTAACATAAAATTAAGGGGAACAAAATTTAAAAACCTAAAGGCCTGCAGATGCCAATCTGAACCCCCTGTATGCCATATCTTGGCAAGAGCGCTTTGGATTGGGTATTCCTGATATAGTGAAATTTTGTTTTTAGTTTGCTGGTTTTTCATCTGACTCCCTTGGTGAAAGAATGCATGACTGCAGAGCTCGAGTTCTCTTAACTGCAGACTTTGTATACCGTGGAGAAAAGCTCCTTAGGCTGAAAGAAATCTGTGATGATGGTAACACATTACTTTTTTAATTTATAATTTCTTTTAACAATAATACTAATCTTATAGCACAGTATATCAGTCTGTGAATAAATGGTAATATTGGATAATATGGAATTAAGTAAATGCAATGTATTATGAGAGTGAGCTTTTTTTTATTTTTTTTTTTTATCTCTGTAGCTAAAAATGGTTTATTATTGAAAATAATAAGCATAAAGGAATTGAGATTTGCTATCAGAGTCAAAACGGCTGTAGTGATTTTAAGGAAACTGGCCTCCTTCAAGCTCTTTAAAGTTATATTAAAGATTATGGAATGGATAAAGGTATAAAAGAAGATGGAAAAAAAGTAGCGATGAATTCAGAATTTTATACAGAAAAGTATCCACTTTTTGGTGGTTTTTATAATTAAATATTTTAAAGGCAATTAAATTACAGAATAGATCAAATAATATAAATTAAACAAAAGTTGAATATAAATTAGAAAAACATATTATACATTTGAAAGTAAACGGATCAAAATTGGATGATTTGTACTAGAGGTATAGCGTTCGAAACATTTAGCACAAGTTTTACTACAAAGCCGATCTCCTTTGTTTTGTTTTTCTATTACTGGATAAGTTTGTATAAACTGAAGAGGTTGAGATTATTGTCTATATTTCTTTACAAGATATAAAAATAAAATATTCTTAAGCAAGCTAATATTTGCAAACACCTTTTATATTTTGTTTTCTCCTGAAGTGGCAAGGAAAGTAATGTGTAATGTCATACATATTCGATACAAAATTTTCAATAAAAAAGCAACATTGTATACGTTTTGAATGAAGCAAAATTAAAGTTCTCATTCCTTAGTATCTTTTTTTTCCCACTATTTCAGGGGAATGTCCTTATTTTTTGTCAAAGAAGCAGAAGACATTCTTCTTATTAGATAGAAGACATTCTTTTAATTAGATTTTCAAATAATCAGGAAACTACATTCCAACAGGAATAATTAAAATAAGGAACTAACTCCATAATTATTACTTGTTTTTAAAAAGATTAAACAATTAAATAAATTTATTTATCATTTGGAATGTACTACTAAATCATTGCAGCTTTGAATCAAAATATTGATATTTTGAAAGTAACTAATTATTTTCCCTCCGAGGTGTCTGAAAAGAAGATGGCCTCGTGATCTACTTATGTAAATATATTATTAGAGTGCTACTAATGGGTAGTTTCTCAAGAAGCGTTTTCATATGATTGTATTATTACTGTGTGCACATTTACTAGTTGTATTTTTTTATAATACAGTTGTAAATATCAATGAATAAAAAATAAAAAAAATAAATTATTTTATTCAAAATTATAATGATTTAGTAGTGCATTCTAAATGATGAAATGTTTCTCTGAGAAATATAATTTAAACCATTGTGTGATTACTGACTAAAAATTCTAAAAATTGAAACCTCCTTTTTAAAATTATATATATGGGATATGATTACATATGATGTTTATAATTCTTATAGCACTCAAAAAATGTGAAAACTTGGGGCACAAAGTAGATAACTGCATCGTAGTGAAGCACCTACCTCGATTAAGTGCTTCGTCAAATTGCACAAATGGTTCAGACGCAAAACAGTCACAACAACTGAATGTAAGGGAAATTAAATAAGTCTCTATCTAACTAGTCATGATTCTTGTATAGTTTGTAACTTGAACTAAATGAAATATTTGTAGGTCCCTTGGAATGATGAAAGGGATGTTTGGTGGCATGATATGATGGAGGATGCTTCCACTTCATGCTATCCAGTGTGGGTTAGCGCCGAAGATCCACTTTTTATGTTATACACGAGGTCAGTGAAAGAATGATTGATTTATGTGTTGAAAATATCTTAACGTATGCATAAGAGGAAGGGAGGCTCTGTATTTTTTATACACATTTAAAGTATTATTATCAGTGACATTTATACATTTTTAACTTTATAGTGGCTCTACTGGCAAACCAAAAGGTGTTCTACATACAACTGGAGGATATTTGTTGTACGCTGCCACAACATTCAAATATGTTTTTGATTACCATCCAAATGATGTTTATTGGTGTACAGCTGATATTGGTTGGATCACAGGTCATACTTATGTTGTATATGGCCCACTCGCTAATGGTGCCACATCTGTAATTGTGAGTCAAATTGTTTTGTAGGATATTATTATGGATTTTTTAAAATTTTAAAACCCATTGTTAATGGTTTAAACTATAACAGAAATACTTTAATTATCACTGATGCTGTCCGAATCCATTTGGTTGCTACAATACATAGCATGGCTATCAGTAAGAAAACTTAGCAGCATTTTTAATGTTTATATATTTGTATTTATTCACATATTTTTCAATTAATTAATTTCTATATCACTCTCATTTTCTTTTGTTTTTTTTCAACTTTGGGTTCAAGGAAAGAAAAACATTTTTTTCAGTTAATTATTTTGTATTTTGAAGAACAATTTAATAACATCTATTTTATTTTATAACCACACTATATCTGGCATATATGTCTTATATAAACATTGTAAGTCTAAGTATTCTTTCTAAGATATAAGTATATATAAAATTAATTAAGAATTTATCAAGTGTTTATGAAGTGAAAACTTCTTTAGGCGCATTTTGCACTTTTTTTGAGGAGAGTGAATTAGGCTGAGCCATCAGATCTCCGATGTGTAACACTCAGTTAAAGTCGGCTGGAGTTGACTAATTGAAGTGTTTTTACATTTGGATCAAAATATCTCATAAACTAAAAATTGGACCTGCATATTGTTAGCAAGGAAACTGTTCATTTTTCATTCACTTTGTAATAAGCTATTCTTAAAAATCGTATCTTAACGCAGCACCGTATTATAGAGGCAAAAAGGAAAAAAATAATGTCGAAAACCAAATGATAACGAGTTTTGTTGAGCGCATGGATTAAAATATCTCAGAAACTAAACATCGGACCTGCATACTGTAAATGAGGAAACTTGTCAGCATTTCATCCTATTTGTAATGAGCTGTAATTCAAAATTGTATTTTGATTTGACACCGAATTAGGGAGTCAGAAAGAAAAAATTATACCACCAAAAAACCAAATAATAACGACTATTTTGAACATTTGAATATTAATATTGAACATTAAAATATCTCAAAATTTAAATACCATGGAGAATTCAAAACCAATTTGCAGAAGTCAATATAGATAATTTTTTAATTAGTCATAAAAATTAGAAATTTATTGTCTCTATTTGATTTTCTGATGCACGCAATCATGTTTCGACAAATTACTGACCTCTATTACAGAAGTTGTATTAAAAAAAATGACGGATTTTCTGTTAAATATTTACCAATAGATTTCGATCAAAGGTATTCATTACATATTTTAGTTATCATAAAACTATTGTATCATTTTTAGAGTATGATACAAATGAGGATGAGTTAGAGCAAAGTTTACTAGAGTAATTTATACATAATTATAACTGTATATATTGTAAATTTTATTACTTTGTGAATATAGAGCAAAAAATATTTTATAAACAACTATATACATTGTAAATGTTATTGCTTTGTAAATATAGAACAAACAAAAAATTATATTTAATATTATTAATCTCCCGTTGCAGATGTTTTCACTTCTATCGTGCAGTCTAAAGCACACACTGTGGTTATTTTTTATCTGTATCTTTCTATTAAATAGTTGTCCATTTTTTTTAAGAATTTAAACCTATAGTATTTTTAAAGAAAAACTAACTTATGGAATCTAACTAAATTCAAAATTAAAACTTTTCATTTTTCAAGTAAAATTATTCCGTCACTTGAATCTTCATTTCTTCAAATGAAAGAATGTATATTGTATTTCAGTTTGAAGGAACACCATTCCACCCACAAAATGACAGGTTTTGGGCTGTTATTGAAAAGTATAAAGTCAACCAGTTCTACACTGCTCCCACTGCTATCAGAGCATTAATGAAGTTTGGCGAAGAACCTGTTAAAAAGTAAGCACAAGTATTTTGCTACTGAACAGTTGTAATTGTTTTTAAAAAATGTTTTGGTTGAAAGTCTTTCTTTCATCCCTTCTAAGTTAATTACATATTTCCTTGAATCATTTATTTATAATTACTTTATTTTTATTATTAAATTAATTTTGTTTAAATGTGTAATACGATTAAATTATGAAAAAAATTGACATAAAAATAAAACTGAATAAAAATATCCATCATTCAGTGTAATCCTGATGTTTATATCATCACAAAGCTTATTAGTTTTCATGTTAATAAGTTTTATCAAGCAATTCTGGAATTTTTCACTTTAATTGATTTTTGCTTTTTTTTAAATAAGCTAGAAAATTTTTTATTTTAAAAATAAGAAAAGAGTTATTAATATGTTACTATTCAAATTCAAGGTCTCTTTCTAATTGGAAATTACATGGTTTTAAATCACTACTTGTAACACTAGAACAGATTGGTTGGTTGGTTTGTTAAATAAAATTTTTAAAGTTTGTATAAAAGAATGGGTGGAATTAAAAAACTGTTTAATGCTTACAGGATTACTAGGGAGTATTCTGTCAAGTTCAAATTTATAAAAGTAAACTTTGTTATTTATGTTGATAAAATTATTAAAAATTGATTTAGGAATATGTTTTAGTGAATTAACTGATAACAAATTGATTGTGTTAATTCTCAGGGACTTAGGATTCTGCTTGCTTTTAATTTCTATATTATTTTTGCCTTGTAATATTATGCCCTGAACATTTACTTTAACTTAATTCTTTTCTTCTGTCTTTAACTTAAAGTTGTTGCAAAGCATTGAGGTTTAGCCTCAGTTCATTTGCCTATTAGTGAGTTGACTGTACAAAACAGTAAAATGATTATTTCTGAGAAAGATTTATGTTTTATGTTTTGGAATTTATTTTCGTGATTTACTATTATGATAAAAAGAAATTTGAAATAATATTTTTAAATATGGTGTCATTTATGTATATTTTAAATTTTAGTTCTAGTTCTATAAAGATGACCCCAAGTTAGATTGTGAATAAAAATCCTAGTGCATTGGAAATAGAATCTAAATAAATATTGGAATTAATGATACCTTACACGTGTAAGCAGGATTAAAAATAACCCACTTGTTATCTTTATTGGAGTAGATAACTGTTTTAGTTAATATTAAATTTACTTGAACGATAAATTTTATAATTTGATTGAATATTTCTTCTTTAACCCTCTCTCTAACTAGTGGTGAGTGTGTGAGAGGTAAATTTTCAAAAATGTCTGGACTTATTTAACTTTGGATCTATTTTAAGGGTTTAAAGAAGTATGGCTGTACAGTAAACACTTCAATAATATCTTAAAATACTATTTGAAAAATCACAGGGTCAAATAATTTCAGACCCTACTAAATGTCAAAAATTTGATCTCCAAACAATGGACAATTAATCTCATGATATTAATTGACCCCATATCCCACTTGTGGATAAAAATTAATTTTTCCATTCACACTGAATCTGTTATGCTTAAATTATTTTATAATCTTTATATATAAATATTGTTATTTGAATAATAATATTATATTCATATAAGGTTGGTTATCATCAAATTTCATTATTATAGGCATGATCTTACAACGCTGAAAGTGTTAGGCTCGGTTGGAGAACCAATCAATCCAGAAGCATGGATGTGGTATTATCGTCTTGTTGGTGGTCAGAGATGCTCAATAGTTGACACATTCTGGCAAACAGAAACAGGAGGACATGTTCTCACACCTTTACCAGGATGTACTCCTATGAAACCTGGTTCAGCAGTAAGTTTATCTCTTTGTTGTGGATAACATATCATCATATTAGCATTTACTGCTCTTATGGGCAAGAATTAACCATCCTTTTAAGATATCAGAAAAATTCTTTCAGTCCAATACTTAGAGCAGTCATGTATGAAAAATCTAACCTCTAATAAACATATTTTTTGTATAATTTATTAAGCCCATTAAAGGGGTTAATAATATTACAATGAAAGAATATCAAAATAATCCTTGGAAGTTCATTTGAAACCTTTAAACATTATTCAATTCATGCCACCTAAAATTCAAGCTATAATTAATGCCAAAGAATGAAATATTTGTAAACATTTTAAAAATTACTCTTAATTTTCATTAAAATAATTTTTATATTGAATTCACAGACCTTACCATTTTTTGGGGTAAAGCCCGAACTTTTGGATGAAGAAGGAAAAAAGATTGAGGGACCAGGCGAAGGTTATTTAGTCTTCAGCATGCCATGGCCAGGAATGATGCGTACTCTTTTTGATAATCATAAAAGATTTGAAGATACCTACTTCACAAAATTTCCTGGTTTCTATGCAACTGGTGATGGTATGTAAATGATATTTTAATTTCATGTTAAAATTAATGACATTGAATAGATGTTTCAAAGGAGTTTATTGTTTCCTATTTCAGTGTTTTATATATACCTTGAAATAAAAGATTCGATTTTAAATTCTAAAATAATTAAACACAAAAATATATAAGAACAATATTTTTCCGCACTCTCACCATCATAATTAATTAGATTATATAAAGTTTGAAAGCTCACTGGAAGGTATCTACAGATGGCAGGTGACATGACAATATCTGTCTCCTTTGCGACAGGTTCTATGAAAAAAAAAAAACTTGATAGTGTGACATTACAACAAAGACAGCAAATGTAGTACTTTTTACAACAGTTTACATGATAGATGTGACTGTGTCATGGCTTTAATTGTAACAGTAACTGTCATTGTGGAAACAAGCTTAAAGCTTGTTTTACCTCCTTAATTCCAACATACAGTTTGACAGATTGTTAGGGGTTGATCCGGAGTTTGCAAATTGAGATCAGAACACGAGCTGATAACAATCACTTAAACTGGAGTTCAATAGACCTTCTTCATTTGAGATTGTGCAAGTCATGATTATTTAGTGGTTGGGGTGGCCGAATGGGCTAAGGCGTGTGCACTGCACCGCCGTTTCCCGGCAACCTGATACATGAGATTTGATTAAAAAAATAGTCACGAGTTCCCGTCCCGGTGCCCGGAGGAGTTTTTAAATCCTCGCCCACACTCCCTGGCCCGGGAAACCCCCGTATAGCCTTAAAGGCGAGGAAGGGGAGGACAGAAAAAAAAAAGTCATGATTATTTTAGTCGCTCTTTGGTTATCCAGTTTCCGACTATGTCATACAGTGAGTTTTTCATTAATTTCATTGCACAGTTGCAGAGCATGATACAAAGGTAAACTGCGAGGTGAAGGGAAACGGACTCTTGTTATCTCTCTCGTTAAGATATCGTTTTTAATGTACGGATATTTAGTCTTTAAAATTTTACTAATTTTATCAGGCATATAATTTAGTCTTATATATACAGGTGCTAGAAGAGACAAGGATGGTTATCTCTGGGTCACTGGCAGGGTAGATGACATGTTGAATGTATCAGGACATCTGATGTCAACAGCAGAAGTTGAATCTGTATTAACCGAACACCAAGACGTTGCAGAAGCAGCTGTTGTCTCGAGACCCCATCCAGTTAAAGGTCAATGCCTCTATTGTTTTATAACTCCCAATGCTGGTGCCACTTTTGATGACAAACTAGTACAGCAACTAAAAATCAAAGGTAACTATTTTTTTCTATAACAATTTTAATGTTTAAATGAAATACATTTCAGTCATTTCAAAAAAAGAAATGTAAACAATTTCTCAAAATTCTTTTAACATTTTTTAATTTGGAAAAAAAAGATAAATTTAACTTTATAATAAACTTTTATTTATTTATTTACATTCCTAATAACTTGTTGGTCTACCTCAATCAATTGCTTCTTAAAGAAGAGACATATTTTTGTTGAGCATTTGGATGCTAGCTTGTGGGATTCTCCGAGATTGCTTCTGGCAAATCATTATAAAATCCTTTTTGTAAGTCATTCCACAAATTTTCATTTGGATTTAGGTTTGGTGAACAAGTAGATCAATTCAATTTTTGAATATCTTGATCTTGTAAGAATTTAATTATGAGTTTTTGAAGAGTTCTAGCATGCAGGTCTGCATCCCCAACTGGGAGGCTCCCTACGGAAAGTGGTCCTATGTTATGTACTGTGACAGACCAAGCTCCACCTCTATAAGACATTTGTGTGTCCCGTAATTCTTTATAGATTGGAGTGCTAGACATCTTCGAACTTTTCTTTCAAAAAAACTCCTTACTTTTGAAAGAAAAGTTCTTCATCATGTTTTTGGAGAAGTGGAAGCGTTGCACGAATCAGGACCTGTACAATGCTTTCGGAAAAGCTGATATTGTGAAAGCAATGAAGTTGAGGCGCTTAAGGTATGCAGGGCATATTCTAAGGATGGCAGACGGAGAAATGTCTAAAATATTGCTTACACAGCCAATCAATCGAACAAGGAGAAGAGGGGTACCAAAGCTGAGATGGTCAGATGGTGTGGCAGGAGACTATTGGAGGAAATAGTCGGAGGAGGCCAAGACTTGTAACTGGGTTGTAGCGACATGAAAAAAAAAAGAAGAAGAATTCTAGCAGTATCATCCAAAAAAATGAACTTTGTGCCGATTCCTTTTTTTTTCAGCTGTGCTATTAATGCCAGAAACACATCTAACTGAGAATGAGCAGTCATAGTTTCATCTTTTCCAACATGTGCCTCATGAAATGCCATCCCATCCTGTAGAACCAAACTAAGGAGGCCACTAGCCCCAGGTCGCAGAATTTTTGAGGACAGCAAGTTATGATAAAACCGTTTTTTAATTATAAAAACATTTCTTTCTAGTTGTTGTTTTGTCTTTATTAATGTATTCAACGACAGGAAATTATCTATTCATATTTATTTCAAAATAAACTGGTGGTCCTTTGAGCCTGAGTCAAAATAATTTTTGAGCCTGAAGTTATAACAGGCATATAAGAGTTCAAAGATGTTTACCATGCATCAATCCTTTTAAGAAAATTTCATAATTCTCTCAAATCGTGGACTCATAGGATGTGTAAATAAGTTTCAACAGTTTTTTTTTTTTTTTTTTTTTTTTTTATTTATAAAAATGATAACTTCATTGATAACAAATGGTCAGGCCTAGTCAAAGTATTGTCCATCCGTAGCCACTATTTTCTCCCATCTTTCAGGAAACATACGACTTCCAGGTTGAAGAAAAGATATTTCTTTTGAGGCAATCCAGTCATCGATTTATTTTTTAGTTTCATAAAAAGAATGGAAGCGCTGACAACAGTAGGTACTAGAGACTCTGATTTTATAATTAAAACAGAATTAGATGAGTTTTATTTTTGTTTAACAGGTTGTCCATTTGCTTTATTTTACATTACATATTTTTTTAAACGAATTTTTGTTGTTTTTTCCTTCTAAAATAAATAAATTCCATTTAAACATTTTGCTAGACTTCAATACTGAAACTGTGGTAAGTCTATAGATCGATACAGGACAAATTGGGTTTTGAAGACTTGTATGTGTACACCGCGATCCGGATAGTTCCTTCGGAACTATCAGGCCCTGCGTTTCAAGGCCCGTATAATAACTAATACTGTTCTCCTACAAACAGAATATGTCACACTATATGTTTTTAAGTTAAATTTCCAAGTTGTAGGAATTAGTAAAATATTTGTATACATTTTAATTTTTTTTTTCTCTCTTTTTTTTTTAAGTTGCTTTTTAAGGCTTATTTACTTGATAAAATCATTCAATTTTAATACACATTGAAAATTTTTAGTAAGAGGGAAGATTGGTCCGTTTGCAATGCCTGATGTCATCCACCATGCACCAGCACTTCCTAAAACTCGCTCTGGGAAAATAATGAGACGAATTTTGAGAAAAATTGCTGTCAATGACCGAGATGTTGGAGATACATCTACCCTCGCTGACGAGCATGTTGTGCAACAACTTTTTAAGACGAGACCTGAGAATCTAAACCTTTAATCATCTGTTCCGGGTAATTTCAGCCATTGTGCTGAAAGGCAGATTTAGGTCATATGTTAGGGCATAAATTGCAGATTTCGTTTGCCTTTATTAGGTTTAAATATAACACACATTCTTTTAATTTATTTAAATGGTACCTAAGTTCAAAATATATAATTCTCACTTTAGTTAATTAATAAGTAGCATACTGAAAACTTGTTGGCCAAAATGACTGTTTAAAGTCTGTGTGATTGTAAGCTGTAAAAAAATAAAATAAATTATTATATCTTAAGATATGTTTACTGAGTGCCACGTTGTTATTAAATGTAATTTGGGGCATCACTTCATGTATCTAATACTTTTATTTCATGTAAACAATATTCAGCTAATTAGATTCTATACCTAATTTTATGAATTGGTTTATTTTTATTTTATTTATTTATTTTTTTTTTTTTTAGTTTTATTTTCAATTAACATAATTGGAGGGTCAAATGGCATTATAGAAACATTTATCTTGTGCTACGAATAAAGGTATAAAATGATTCATTTTCAATATTTCCTCCTACCAATAGCTGGTACATTGCCGATTTGATGGAGGTGCTAAGTGACGATATCTATTGGTTTTATAATGGATAAAGCTGATTGGAATTCAGTTTTCTCAGAACTGAAAATGTATTGCTCATCATCTTTACCCTCTTGATCCTTCAATTAAAATTTAAACACTTTTAAAAATGTTATTTATAGTTTAGTTATTTGGCTGTGTTCATATATTTTACATCTGTTGGATAAAATAATACTTAACTGCCACTCGCTGTACCTAAAAGAAAAAGAAAATCAGAGAAGCTGTACAGTATGATTTAGGCTATATATATTTATTGCATTTAAACAATGAATGATAGGATTAAACTTCTAGCTTTGGTTTAGAATCATTTTTCTTTTTCTAAAAAAAATAAAAAATCAATGTTAAGATAAGAGACCAGCAACTTCTTATTCTTTATTATAGATAAATAAGTTAAATTTATCCAAATCATAAATTAAGTACGAAAATAAATTTCAAAGTACTGCTTTGAAGCATCAGATAGTAATCGCACAAAGTACAAAATTCATTATGTTAATGTTTTGTAGAGTGTATAAAGCCGTATAAAAAAACCTTTTGAAAAAGAAAGGGCCAGAACTAGAATATATATTAGGGCGGGCAAGCATAATTTTGCCGCCCCTTCTTTTATTACCTTCCCTCCTCTAATATGAGACAACAGTTTTATTTTAAGATTATTTTAGATAATATATTATGAAATAAATAGACACATCTAATGTTATTAACTCATGTTGTTACAATTAAAAAACAGACACAAATATTTTATTGTTGACATAAAAATAAAAAATCTCGAAATTGCATGCCCTCTAAATTCTGCTGTCCACCTTTGCCCCTTCCCTTCTCTCTCCGCTATTTCTGGCCCTGGAAAATTGAAAGGAGAATATTGTTCCTCTAATTTCTAATTCCCTCCTTATATTGTTATATTCAATTATTTTAATATAGAATCTATATCATACCATCTATTGTTAAATTATATCCATTCCATAAAAATAAATGAATATAATTATATTTCTATAAATATATACATATTATCTGTATATACGTAACTTATATGTCTTTTAATTCTTTTTTTTTTTTTTTTTTTTTTTTTAAATGTATATGAAGTAAGGTAAGATTATTATTTAACTGTTGGAGCTGTTATTTTATTTTTTCAATTTTGATAATATTTGAATTATTAGTTTTGTGATAAATTTGTTATTGAATGAAAAGAAAAATTGTTGTAAATAGTGATATTTTTCTGTGAAAAAAAATTCAAAATTTATTTATGTTAGCTACTTGAAATTTTTATTTTTAAGCTCATGTAATAAAAACAATATAACTTTGGAGCCTTAAATATTTATTGTTATTTCCAGCAAGATTATCGAAAGGTTATGTTATTATAGCCTTTTAATTTAAAGTTGAAATATTCAAAACTAGGCAATATAGCTTAAAATAATTTGTCAAATGAGCATGTGTGATCTGATGAAACTAATACATATCATGTTAGGAATTGTTTAATAAAGAATATTGTTGTGTCTGTCTAGATTAAATTTTTTCAAAATTCTTCCAAATCCATTTTTTAACATGTTAATAAATATCAATATTTAAAGTCAATACCCTAAAATAAATCAAAATAGTTTTTTATAACTGAAATATCATACCAAATCAATTATTATATAAAAAATGACCAGTACAAAGTTCCAGTAATTTTAAAAATTATTATAACCCTAAAGGCACACATAAGCAGGAGCAAACCCTTAGGCATTAGGCTGTGCTTACATTGGAACCAATATGGCCAGATATGACTTTGTACTTTTAGCTTGAAAACATAAATCTATTGTCTGAATGAGTAAATCTGTAATTCTCTTTCATTCATCTTTAAATGTTTAGCATTCATTTAATTATATTGTATTTACCCCATATACATAAAAACAATAGTTTAATTTCATTAAGATTGTTTTTGTCATATTTTCTAATTGATCAATATTAAGAACTTAAGTAATTAAAAATGCAGTAGAAAATGACAATAATAACTATTTACATTTTTTTTGTTAGCAATTAATAATTGAAATTGCCTTTTAAATATTGAATACACTCTCATTAATATAGGAAAACAAGTAGTAACTTAATGGTCAATAGTATGCAAACAATTTTTTTATTTTTTTTTTATTTAATTGCTTTTCTTCATAAATTAAATATTTCCTCAGCCAAACTCCTCTCTCAGTCACTTCTTCCACTTCTCCCTATCCAACGCTTCCTCCTCCATCAGCCCTTGGCCGGCCATACCCTCAGACACAACTCTACATCTAACACAAGGTCTTCCTCTCCTTCTCCTATCCTCGGCCTCCCACTCAAATGCCGTTTTGGCAAGTCGTTCACTATTCATCTCTTTCATATGCCCATACCACTGTAATCATCTTTCTTCCATTATTTACAGTTTATTATACTTAATCTTCATCCTTTTTCTAATGGTCTCGTTCTTGATTCTGTGCGTCCTTGAGACTCTAGCTGATCTCCTCCAAAAATCCATCTCCACAGCTAGAAATCTTTTACTCTGATTTCTTCGAGCGACCACGTTTCCGAACTATAGAGCATTACGATCTCTACCAGGGCTTTATATATTAAGTTCTTTGCATTATTATAAATATTTTTTCTCCAGAAAATATATTTATTCACTTCAAAAATTGAAAAGTAAGAATATAATAAAACATTGTTAATTTTATTCATTAAATATTTAAAATTCAAAAAATTAAATTAAAATATCCGTATAACTGTATTTGGGTTCTGCGCTCTTTCCTACTTTAAGCACTAATAAATTTCTTGTTTTTTAATTGATACTACAAATATCTGTTATATGAATGTATGAAACTAGTAGTTTATTTAAAGGTTATTTCAAATGCAAAAATGAATTTATTAGAACTAAATGCCAGTTTAAGAAGTGATAAGAAGATAATAATGACTATAGAGATTATTTCTCAAAATAATGAAGTTTTCTGGATTACCCAAAATTTCAGTGTGTTTTATGAAAGACAGAAAGCCTCAGTTTAATAAAACAGGTGTTTAAGCAACTATTCATAACTCTTAACACAATAAAGTGGGGAAAAAAAAAACTGGTGTGTTTAAAGTGGAAAAGAGCCTGGTTCTGCTTATCATTTTATTATAACTTATAATTCATATTTAACAAATTAAAAATCTCATTTTAACAAAAATTATCTTATTTTAGATACAATTTATATTGTATATTTTAATCAGTAATAATTATTTAAAAATATCACAATATTATCAAATTAGTTAAAATGTTGATTCACACTGTTCTTCTTTAGCCCATATCAATCATAAATGAAATTATTCGAAACATTCTGTAAAAATATTTGCATTTTTCTATTGATTAATAACAGTTTTCTAAAATTTATAATGATGTTATTTTAATTTAAGGCACTTGTTAAATATATAAAATCTTTTGCAGATATTAACTATTGCATCGTTATTTAAATTTAAAAATGTTACCACATTAATTAAAATATTAATCAACTAATTTAATTTTCATTTAGTAACAATGAATGCCTCAATAAAAAGCATTAGACCACATGTGAAACGTATAATTCATAATCACTCTTCTTTCTCACTATAGCAAGATTTTCAATATTTATTACCCTGTTCATTTTTCCTTTTATTGGGATTTCCTAGTTAATGGCGGTTACCTCCATTATATGCCAGAGATACATATTTTATAACTGTGCATAGTGTGTTAAGTACAAAAATCAAATTTATGGAAAAACGCAATTGAAAGTTTGGGATTTTCACAGGCATATGTTCAATTTTGGATTTTCAATCAATGAACAAAGAAATGTTCATCTCTGTAATAGCCGCTTAACTTAGCCCATCAGACACCTTCTTCTTCTTTAGCTTTCCTCTTTAGTGCCTTTCAGCAAGAAGGAGCATTCAGCCAGGAATTCCATTCTTCCCTATTTCTAGCTAGGTTCCTCGCCTGTCGAAGGTCCTTCTCCCTCGCCCTACAGAGTCACTCAATGTAGTCAAGATAGAAAATTCTAGGGTGGCCTCTAGGTCTTCTGCTATCTGGGACATATTCCATGGTCTTTAGAGGATTTCTGTGGTCGTCCATCCTGATAACATGGGCGAACCACTTAAGCTGATGATTTTCTAGGAGCTCTTTCCGTGGGGCTATCTGCAGTTCCTGACGAATACTTTCATTGCGAACTCGGTCTCTCCTTGTTTTCCCAACCGTCCTTCGCAGAAATTTCATTTCGGCAGCGGTGATTCTACTCTCCTGTCGGTCTGGTAGTATCCAGCTCTCAGCTTCATACAAAAGTATAGGTAGATAAACTGTCTTGAAGATGTGTAGCTTGACGTCTTTGCCTACTTCTCTCTTCCCTACTACAGTGTTACATATCTGGTAGTAAACTGTATTTGCCTTATTAATCCTGTTAGATATTTCCGCGTCTACCTTCCCAGATCCGTCTAACACTGTACCCAGGTATGTGAAGTCTGTCACCACTTCTAATTCTTCTCCATTACAGTATAGTGGATACCTTCCTTCTTTCTTCCGACTTGTAGGATCTTGCTGTTGTTGGAATTTATAAGCATCCCTTATCGTTGGAGTTCTTCATACCATTCTATAACTGCCAATTGCAACTTTTCCACTGAGCCCGTAATCAATACCACGTCGTCAGCGTAGAGAAGAAGTTGTATCACTACAGGATTAAGATTCCTACGTCCCAGGAATGTCCTGCCCATTCTTCTCTTACAGATGGATGCCACTTCATCCATGAATAACAAGAACAACAAGGGGCTTAGGCTATCTCCTTGTTTCACTCCCTTTGCAATATTGAAACAACCCTATTCTAGCCCGTTCAGCCTGACTATTCCTTTGGGCTCTTGATATATAGATTTTATCGCCTCTGTCAGATTTCTCGGAACATTCTTCGATCTGAGAGCTTCCCATATTTCATCTCGTGGAACCGAGTCAAAGGCAGATTTGAGGCCAAGGAAAGCTAGGTACATATTTTTATCAAGGTCCCAGGATTTCTGTAGGATATTTCTTAGTGAGAAAATGTGGTCATGGGTTTGGCGCCCCGGTCTGAACCCAGCTTGCTCTTCTCCTATTAGGTGCTCAACTAGTGGTCTTAAGTGACCCACCAATATTGATGTATATAGTTTGTACGCAACTGGCGAGAGGCATATTCTGCCTGACATCCTTTCTTGTCAATTGGTATTATAATATTATATTCCCAATCCGTTGGATTCCTTTTTTCGTCCCAGGCTTTCTGGAAAAGGACTTGCAATGCTCGCACCAGCTCAGGGCCGCCATTCTTTATTAATTCAGCTACTACACCATCCCGACCTGGCGCTTTTCTAGTTTTCATTTTGTATATGGCTCACTCTACTTCTTCCTCAATCACCTCGTCGTACTCTTCATCACTCCAGTTTCCATTTCCGTTTGTTGGATAGTGATCATCACTACCAAACTGCTTCATGTAATGATGTCTCCAGACCTCTAAGATTGCTCTGTCTTCCGTGACCACTTTTCCTTCTTCACTCTTCATGTTTCTCACAGGAAGTTAGCATCATTTATCGGAGCATAAACTCGTATTAAAGCCCAATTCCCAATCCTTAGATTTATATGCGCTGCAATTATGCGTGGACTTACTGCTTCCCATTCCACAACTTTCCTGTATAATTCATCCTTCAATATAAAACCTACTCCTTCTACAGCTCGGTTTCCTGGTAGGATTCCAGAGTATATCAACATGTGTCCTTTGTTCATTTCTATTTCTCCAACTCCGTCCCTTTTTACTTAACTTAATCCCAGGATGTCCTTTCTATACGACGTAATTTCCTCAATGATCCCCACCTCCTTGCCGGTGAATGATCTCACGTTCCATGTTCCCAAACGTATGTCCTTATCCGTGCCGTGTCGTTTCCTTTTAGACTGTCCAATTCCGAGGCTTGTTGCTAATTTTCTCTGAATCGATGATTCTCTCCTACGGTTGATTAGCCCAGTAGGAGAGGCACCGTATCCTCGGGACAACTGGCCTCCTCAATATTTATGTCTCTCAGGAGAAAGGGTGGCCGGGCTATACCCTCCCCCCCACCCCAGCACTGGGTTACCTGTTGGTCCACGGGTCTTTATTCGATTTATTCAGACCATCCCTCCTAAGAGGAATCCTCCATCCGCCACTTGGGATTCCGGAGAGGGGCTCCCTAGCGGCCAGGTTCCGCCGAGAGTATCTGCCCATCAGACACCAAGAGAGAAACATAAGCTTTGTGGTAATACCTATAAAAATTCACAAAGTTGCACTTAACACATTTTTCAATGGTGCCACAGATATATAATGCAATGGACATGTTCATTTAATAGTTGTTTCACTTAATGCTTTATTTAAGAAATTGGTTTTGGAATAAAAATAACTGGAGGAATGTAATTGGTAAAAATTGCATTTCTCAGTTAATGTATTATGGATTATAGAAAGAAGTATCTTTTTATAATAAAGTCATCATCATCATAATAATAACAGGCATTTAAGTTTCT